ATCAGTGAGATTCTGCCCAGAAAAGGTATTTTGAGATTTCTGAGATGGAAAAGCAGAAAATTCTAGAGACTAGAATCTCCAGCAGCAGCAGCAATGTGGGCACAGATGTGACCGTCAGCAGGTAGTATTTTTTTTTTTTTTGCCAGTGACCTTTGAGTATCCTCTTACAGATGTAGACTTATGATAGCTTCCTTGTGATTTCTCCATTTCCAATTTTCAGAATACAACAATACCTCCTTGACCTCTTTCTTCTGCCTTTGCCAGGGCTGTGTGATCCTTCAGCTCCTTATAGTCAATACTTTTCTATTTAAAACACCTGAAGTGTCTTCTGTTGACCTAACGTGTGAATACAGCAGAGATTCCCTACCAAGTAATAAGCAGAAAGAACTCTGGGCTTAGAAATTCCTACATCAAATTCCACAATCCACGTGAACCTGAGACGGCCACTTACATTTTCTCATCTAAAAGAGATGACAGATAATATTTGTTCTGATTACTTCACGGATGCTGGCGAGGGCTGAAGGGGCTAATAGATTCAAAAGTATGTTCTACATTGTTCAGATTTCTATTCCAAAAGGAATTTCTATTTTTGTCTTCTCTACTGAGCCTCTTTTTGGGAAAATGTATGTTGCCCATGAGAGTCAGTCTCACAGCTGATTGCACAGATTCCATCCTGTTTATCCATTTATTCACTGATGGATGCTTAGGCTGCTGCCTCCTTTTGGATATTGTGAATAGCACTGCTATGAACATGGGTGTATACATATTTATTTGAATCTCTACTTTCAGTTCCTTGGAGTATATATAGATTTGCTGAATCCTTTGGTAAATCTAAGTTTAATTTCCGGAGGAACTCCCAGACTTTTCCATAGCAGCTGTACTATTTTATATTCCCACCAGCAATGCCCAGGGTTCTGATTTCTCACCAACCTTGTCAACACTTATTATTTTCTGTTTTTGTCTTCTTTATAATGACCCTCCTAGTGGGTAGGAAGAGATATCTTATGGTGATTTTGAAACACATTTCTCTAATAACTAGTATTGTTAAGCACCATGTATTCTGGGCCATTTGTATATCTTCTTTGGAGGAATATCTATTCAATTCCTTTGCCTGTCTATTTGCTAGTGGGTATATGTGCTTGCTAGAGAAAGACAGAGAGAAAGAGAGAGAGAGAGGGAGAGGGAGAGGGAGGAAGTACCCACAATGGGGTGTAGCCTTGCCACACTCCCTTCTCTCCATTTTTCCAACCCATCGGGACTTGAGGCACACACACACATGCAGCTGGCATGTTTTTCAAGCTACTGGGGCTTGGATTCAAACTTGATCGGCCATGCATATGAAATCTGCTCCTTTAACCCCTAGGCCACAGGGTGTGCTGTTGCTTTTGTGATTATGGTTGAGTTGCAAGAGTTCTTCATGTGTACTGGATTGTTTTGTTTTGCTTTGTTTTTAAAGTGTATTTATTTATTTCTTCCATGAGCAAGAGAAACAAAGAGAGAGACAAAAACCCCAAGAAGGGTTCTCCTCATTTCAGATCTTGGGTGTACCTGGCTTGACAAACTCAGGGAGGTCTTTGGACCCGAACAGTCAATTTTCTCATGTGGGATTGCCTCACAGAGTATTGCCTTTTACCTCTGCACCACCATCAGGCCCATATTCTGCATGTTAATCTCTTATCAGATGCCTGATTTGCAAGCATTTCCTCCCACTCTGTGGTTGTCTTTTCACTCTCTTGATAGTGTCCTTTGATGTTTAAGTGAGAAATACCAACCACAAAAATCATAAGCAGGTTGTCAATTTTCCTGCTCCTAGAATGAACTCTTTTACATAGCTTCTCACAGAGGGAGGATAAAAGAGGCCAGGATGATACTGTGTGTCTATCTGCCCTTATACAGTATTGCATTTTGGACATCTTTTCAGAGTTCCCCATTGTCTGGCATTTGAGCCACTGTGTTCACCTCTGTTCTCTTTTTCCTAGACCCTGGTCACAATACTAAGTGAAACATGGAACGAAACACGTCTATCAAGAAGTCAGCCAAAGTTATTCAAAATTGCCAGCAGGACTGTTTGAAATGTAAGTTTCTACCCACCGTTGTTAAGCACAGACCTTGTGCTCGACCACTGGCATGCTATAGTTGTGCTGTAAGATACTGATGAGTGTTTGGCAAAGCACTCAAAGTACCCAGAACATAAACCCAGTTTCCTACAATGGGGGGCGGGGTGGTGGTGGTGGTGTTTACAATCATGCAATATTTAATTCAGCCTGTGACACTACTTCAATAAAATTATTGATAGGTGTCTGGATATTCCTTTGGAAATTTCTTGCCCAATACTGAAATGCAACATACTAGCAGAGAAACATTTTTTTCTGTTACAATAAAAGTAGTTGAGATCATGTATGAGAGATGCCAAGGCAAAGAAAATGGAACTGAAAATTAGCAGAAAAAATATATTAGAAGAAAATAAATAGGGTTAGAAGTTTGCTATATGCCTCAATAACAGTACAGATGAGTTAAATTTGTCTGTAAATAGGTTTATTTTCTAAATTTGATTTCCACAATTATTGTGATTTCATCCCAAATAATTTTGATAATACTTTGTATTTGTACTTGATAATCATTTGAATATTAATTCAATATATGAAGTGTATCTCTTTTATTTTTCAAAGAAGTTTTTGCTATAGGGTGCTTGCACTTGCCAGGAAGACAAAGAGAGACAGAGAGACAGAAAGTGAGAAATCAACCCCCAAGGGGGATGGCCATGCTGCAATCCCTTCTCCTCCATTCTCCTCTTGGGATCCTGGGCATGCACACACATGTGCCTGGCTTGAATTTAAGCCACCAGGTATGGGACCCAAACTGTGGTTGACTACATGGGAGTCCAGCGATGTAGCCATTAGGCCATTTACTGGTCCCTGAAGTGTTACTCCTTTTAAGCTCCTATAAATGATGTACCAGAAAAGTTATATTCTCAATAATAAATTATTTATTTAATAAAAAAATTGCTTTAAGAGGAAAAAGGGTATAAATATAATCTCTGATGTGGTAGCTACTTTATGATTTTTTTTTAAAAGGAGTCAGTGATAGACTAGACAGAATGATCCACAAATTCACACACGAATAAGTGAGTGATTACACTGAGAGACAGAAATGATCAATAAACGAAAGGCCACAGGTGCCATCAACGTGTTTGCATTTATAAAATGTCATCCAGGAGAATGGTGACCATAACATCCCTTGTAGCTCCAAGTTTTTGTCATTGTCATAACAAGTACTTAAAACAGGTTCTAAACTTAAAGCAAAGCTACATGTTATTCTTTTTTAAGAAGAAACGCATTACAAATTCAATGACCTTTTCTGTGATAAGTGGCTGTCAGGAGTAGCAGGTATTTCCTAAACATATAAAGGCACCATTCATCTGCTCCTTCAAGGTAGAGGCGACATTTTAGCAGGACACGAGAGAGCAATTGTGTCTCATAAGAAAGCCATGCTATGGAGAGAGTATTTGGAAAATAGATGCTGGGATATGTTGCCATTGCTTTGTGACTTCATTGCCAAAAAGGATGAATTGTCCAGTTAAGGTTCTGGATCCTACATGGCTGACTCTGTGGTTCAAGTCCCAGACCCAGTAGCCTGAAAAACAAGCCACATGCATGTGGATGTGTGCCCAAAATCCCAAGAGAAGAATGGAGGAGAAGGAATTATGGCAGGGCCATCCCCCTAAGGAGGGTGTGTTTTCTCACTCTCTGTCTAGTGAGCACATGTGCCTTCTGGCAATAAAAAAAAGTTTTTATTCTTGTCCAGTCAAAAAACACAAATATTCTGCTTTATAGTTCTCTGGAAGAAAAAGTTTCAATGAAAGTTTTAAAATTCATTTTTAAAACTACAGAAGTGCAACATTTTAAATTGAGTTTTTCAGAAAAACTAAACATGGGATATTGGATATGGGATACTTTGAAAAATGCCTGAGTCAGATTGGATCCAAGTGGAAAGGAAAAATCTCCTTCTGTGTTTTCCATATTAATCCTCTGGTAATGCAGCCGAATAGATCACCAGCTCATTGGGGGGCTACAACACACAGTTGATAACAAAGTTCTTCCAGGTCTGTGCTTAACTGCCAATTCTTTTTTTAACTCAGCTAACTTGGGATGGACTTCTTTGTATAATGTCAAAATCTTCTGTCAAGAAGATCCACTTATGTGCATCAACTATAGGGGTTTGGTATTGTTTTGTGCAGTGATTTTTGAAGCTGGTGAAGCCTCAAATGAAATCAAGTGACAGCCTGTGAGAAGTGAAATCATCCTTATTTTAGAGCCGCCCCATAAAATTAGCAACTTTGCTTTTTTTTTTTTCTGAAGAGAGATTGATTTTTATATCTCTCAGAAAATAATTCAGAAAACATTTTTAAGACTATGGTTTTATCTGCAGCCTTCTTATTTCTTATGAGATAGAACAAAATGATTTTTAATGAAAGACATCCATTTGAATGGAGTCAGAATGTAATATCCAATAAAATTGGGAGTAATGTTCTTTCTATTGCTCCTTCAATTAATTTTCACCTTTTACCTATCCTCTGAGTCAAATCCATGTCTATTGCAGGGGCTCCTAAGCCCTCTAAGACCAGTCTCTCCAGCCCCATTGAGCCCATTTCCTCCCACCATTACTCATCGGCCACACTGACTGTCTTTCTTTTCTTGGGGTACACACTACTCATGCCTCATTTCTTCATCCTTGCTCTTCTCTTTTCCAAGAGTGCTATTCCTCTAGATATTCCCAGGGTTTGCCTTTTCTCATTCAGGACTGAGCTAAAATGCCACATGCCAGAACCTTTCCTCAGCCTGTCTTCTCAGCCATTCCCACTCCATTGCCTTGATGACAGCCTTTTGGTCTTAGCATGTCCATGGTGGTTCACTAGCTATGATAGTAATACCCAGCCTCATATAAGCAACATAACAGACTATCAGTGCTGTGAGAGCCAGACCGCATCTATTAAGTTAGCATGGTATCCCCAACACCCACAGTAGTGCTTGGGATGCAGTAGCTAGCCAGTAAACATGTATTAGATGAATAAATAAGTGTAATGTCTAAGGCAGGTCCTTCTTCCTCAGATAGAATGAGCAGTTGTGAGGGATTTGTTGTGTAAGGTCTGTTGTGGAGGAACGGAAGGACTAGTGCTTCATAAAAGCTCACATAATGCCAGTCCCTTCTGATAAGCGTGTCATCCTCTGTACGACCCACTGGGGTAGATGAGACTGACTCCGTTGTCCAGATGAGAAAGTGTAAGCTTAACAAGTTAGCACGACGAACACCTGGAGCTAACACCTGGCAAGGTGAGCCTTGAGGAAAGTGGGTCAGACGAGGACCTGGCATGTTATCTCCTGCAGTTCTCTGAACAGCACAGATAGGAAGTTTCTGGATGGCTCTGTCACCTAACTGCTGGGACCCAAACTTACACTTAACTTTTACTAATTAGATATTAGATTTGACCTCTAAATCTTCTACTAAAAGTCTATGAATTAGTTGTGCGACTTTAAACAAGAAATCTAGTCTGTTCGATTGGAATACTAATAGTACTGACTTCTGGGTTATCACAAGCATTAAATGAGATGATGCACATTAAGCTCCTAGAATAGAGTCTGGACTATCCTAGTTCTTAATAAATGTTAGCTGTGGGCATCACAATTATTATCATCATTGCCATAGACCCCTGTGTTCCTGAAGCATTTCTGCTCCTTCCTTCCTTTGCTATGTACTCCTCAGCATCCTACCCGGTGTCTGGCACTGTGCTAGGTATCTGAGATGAAAGGGTAAGTAGCAGACAATTGTCACTGAGGCAGTATATACAGAGTGTCATGGGAGCATGGAGGAGGGAATGCCTGCCCTTGTCTGAAAGGCTACTGAACAGCTTTGTGGAACCATCAACGTCTGGGTGGAGGCACAAAGAAACTTGTCAGGACTGGGCTTTAGGACTGAGACAAGATTTTCCAAGGAATAAATAAACTAATTACAGTAAAGAAAAAGAAGAAAACGTAAAACAAATAAAAACAAAAAGAGAGAGAGAGAGAAACAAGTTGAAAACGGACTGAAAAATGTGGTTAAATTCAATCTTTCTCTTATATGGGGGGACTTCAAAAAGTTTGTGGAAAAATGGGATTAAAGTATGAATTTCTTTGGGTGCAAAACAATTTTGAAATCCATGCAAAGCTTTTGCATGATATGAATTTTCTGTGAGCTTTTTGAAATCCTCTTATACATCACATTCAGTTTTATAGAGGTAACTTTTTTTTTGGGTGGGGGAGAAAATACATGGGCTTTGCTGTCAGAGTCTGAAGTTGGAATGACAAGTAAGCCCTGTGACTTTGGTAATGTTTCTTTTACCTCTATGATCTTTAGGTCCCATTTAAGAGAAATATGGGAAGAGAGTAACAACTCTTACTTTATAGGGCTTTTTAAAAAATTAAGTGAAGTAATATGTGAATGAAGGGTTTGGCAAGCAGCAGGTGTTCACTAAATGTTTCCTTTCTCTCTTCCAAAATTGGACTTCACACATACTGACCATGTTGTCAACCTGAAATGAAAATGACCAGTGTCATTGCCTTCACATTTAGCAAATCCATAGAGAGCACAAATGCTTAACTCAGTTTTTAGCTTAACCGAGAGGCAAGGTTTTCTTTCCCAGAAAGGAGAGGCAGAAGAAGTTAAAGCCTCTAGCACTGGTAGTTCATTGCTGGCATTTTTCATTTGGACATCTGTCTAGAGCCTACCAAACAGCAAATATCTTGGTGAGTCCTTTGTTTTTTAGATGCATCTTGCCTTCACAAGAAGCCAGACGGTAGCAGCTCTCCCCATTTCACAGATGAAGGCAATTTACACTGAGAGAAGTTAAGCTACCTGTTTAGGATTGTTCTCCTGACTCCAGGGCTAGCTCCCAGAGTGCTCTAATTTCCACCCTGTATGCTCATCCAGATTCCTTAGAGTGGCAGAGTAATAAGACTAACTCAGCACAACAGCTGTGAAGACTACAGCGGAGTGGGACCAGCAGTTAGTGTAATGGAACCATCAACGTCTGGGTGGA